AATACAGATGTAAAGACAAAATCCTCCTCCAGGAATGTGTGGTTAACGACTGCCGATTCTTTTCCGTTTTGGATCAATTATCTATTAGGGCGACCGCCATTTATCGGAGTACTGAATACAACTGTTTTGGTTTTAGCTTTGCTTTCTTATTTACGGTTAACGGTTATGCTGATTACATAATTAAATAGGTGTTGAGAGAAAAAGAGAAAAGAAGAAATAATAATAGGGAACTTATCGTAATTTAGCATATTGGCATATTAGGAAAAAAAAGTTATTTTAACGGGATAAATTTACCGTTTTTGAAAAGCTTATCCAGATATTTTTTACTAAAGTACGCTGTGTCACCTCTCTCTTTCGCATTCCGCAGTTTTTTTAGTTGTGCTTTTCTTAATTCATAAAGCTCTTTCGGCATGTCTTCGTAAACACTGAAAGTCTTGTCTTTTAACAACTTCCTCGCCTTGAATAGGACTTCTTCGCGGTCGCAGTAACATAGGAATTTTGCGATGATGGGGCGCGATTTCTTACCTCTCTCTTTCCCTACCCGGTGAACGCGTTGGAATTCAATTCTGCTTCGAGCGTTTTGGATTTGTAGCTCTTGTTCCATAAAATTGTAGATGATCTCTTTCGTGTTCTCCGTGTTTTGATTGCTGACTGTGCTATTTTCTTCGTCACCTTGTGTACCGACCTCTTCTTGAATTCCAATAAACATGAAGTTCTCTCTTCTGCTATAGTGCTCTTGGTAAAGAAGTTGCATCTTAAGATTGTCCACCTCATATTGTAAACCTTTAACATCTCGCTTTAGGTCACTAATATCCTGGTCGTTGTAATCAATGCTCTCCTCGAGGTCATTTACCTTTGACTGGTCTTCTTTGTCCTCTCCTTTAAGGCTTCCACATCTTTTTCAATAATTGCGAAGGACTCTTCTATACTGACCACTGACTTGTTCAGATTCTCTAGACGCAGTTCGATGCTATCCAACCTGTTTAGTTTGTTCAAAATTAGGTCGACTTTAGGTCCTAAATTATCGGCCATATTCAGCGCTTTTCAAATGTCGTCTTCGCTTTCGCTTTCTAATGCACTATGATTCTTTTCTCGTGTTTTCTTTTCCTCAGGGGAAGAAGCATTCGACTACCACGATTCTGGCCTATCTTTTCGTTTTAGCGGCATTGCTAAAAGCCATCAATGATATAATTCGTGGCGGAGCACTAAAATAGCGTCCTACTCCTTCGGCATTCCCAGGGGTCCTCCGCCTACTGTCCGTCTACTGTGTGAGACTTCGGTTAAAATTAAACCTTTACACAAGGAAAAGAGTCCCGATCGTCATACTACGCCTTAATATAGAAGCCATGCATTGATACTGGAAGACGCAAAATTCGTTTTAGTTGAATTAAAAACACAGCCACAGGAAGTCTTTCTTGGAATTTTCAAAACATAGTTTGAAGCAGTGTTAGTTACAGGGGCAGTATCCCGAGAATTTCCACCCGTTTTCGTTTTTAACTGCCTCAAAGTAACAGAAAAAATACAACTTCATTCTCCAAGGACTACAAGGTGTAAAAATAAAAAAGAAATAACGCAATTTTCCCATTTCATTCTGTCAAAGCTAGAAATGTCAGAGGACGTCTCTAGCCAAAGAGCGCTTATTACTTCGTCGTGTATTAGAAGCAAAACCAGAGCACCCTTTTTACGCCTCTTAGTGACACTGCTCTTTTTTTAAGAAAACAATAGCGAGACATAGAGAGCTTTATTTTGTAAACAATACATTTATTTGTAGCTTTTTGAAGGATTAGCAAAGTATTTTACACCAGTTAGAAATTCTTATAGCACGCTTTAAGTAAAATGAGGAATTTTTGCATTCTTTAGTCGCACTCAGAAAGTGAAGGCTAACATGGGATACACGACGCATCCTCGACAAAGGTTTCATTTTCCAGTCTTGACCTTGGAAAGATAGCTTTAAATTGTGGTGATTTTAAAGCAGCCCGAGTGTGCTTCGAGAACGAATTGAAAGAAGCCATAGAAGCAGGTGACAGAGATAACGGGTGTGGTGCATATACAAACCTCGGTATTGCATATAAATCTCTCGGCGATTTTATAAAAGCAGCCAATGTCATCAGCAGGTTCTAAGTATCTCAAAAGAAAACGGAAGTGACAAAGACTTTCAAAAGACTGCTTACGTCAACCTTGGCAAATTCTATCACTCTCTGAGTGATTTCGGACTGAAAGCAATCGACCTTCATCATCAGGCTCTTCGTATCGNAATAGCGAGACATAGAGAGCTTTATTTTGTAAACAATACATTTATTTGTAGCTTTTTGAAGGATTAGCAAAGTATTTTACACCAGTTAGAAATTCTTATAGCACGCTTTAAGTAAAATGAGGAATTTTTGCATTCTTTAGTCGCACTCAGAAAGTGAAGGCTAACATGGGATACACGACGCATCCTCGACAAAGGTTTCATTTTCCAGTCTTGACCTTGGAAAGATAGCTTTAAATTGTGGTGATTTTAAAGCAGCCCGAGTGTGCTTCGAGAACGAATTGAAAGAAGCCATAGAAGCAGGTGACAGAGATAACGGGTGTGGTGCATATACAAACCTCGGTATTGCATATAAATCTCTCGGCGATTTTATAAAAGCAGCCAATGTCATCAGCAGGTTCTAAGTATCTCAAAAGAAAACGGAAGTGACAAAGACTTTCAAAAGACTGCTTACGTCAACCTTGGCAAATTCTATCACTCTCTGAGTGATTTCGGACTGAAAGCAATCGACCTTCATCATCAGGCTCTTCGTATCGCAAAAGAGATTGAAAACAAATATTCAGAAGGAGACACATATGGTGCCCTTGGTAATGCGTATCACTCTCTCGGTAATTTTAAAAGAGCAATCGAATTTCATCGGCAGGCTCTCAGTATAGTAAAAGAGAATGGAGCAAAAGATTTAGAAGCGCGTGCACATGGCAACCTTGGCGCTGTGTACAACTCTCGCGGTGATTTTGAAAGAGCAATCGAATTCTATCAGCAAGTATCTTTTTGTCGCAAGACAAGTTGGAGACGATGTTTCAGAAGGATCTGTCTATTGCAGCCTTGTTTGAGAAAACGAGGCTTCTTCTTCAAGAGAAAGACGAATGGAAAGTCAGCTTTCGGAATCGATGTAAGGCTTACAGTCTTTTATGGCCTTCAATTACAACAAAGCTAAATTTCGAGTGTGAAGTCTCTTTCAGTGCAGCTTGGAAGAAATAAAGTGATTCGCTCCTGTGATTGAAGGGCTACTTTAACTTGAAGATTTCACCACTAACTGATTTTCGCGTACATGGAATTCTTTTTGCACTTGTAGCAGTAGAAGAAGAAGTAGTCCACTGAAAAATGAAATTAATATTACAAAGAAAGTTATTACACACGTCAATTTCGGTTGAAACGACGGGCAAATATTATACTTACAATTTGTGTTCCATATGAGGCTATAGTAAGCTTCGATGTGCGATGGGTGGTGACATTTTTGAAATGTAAGTTGCGTATCCAACTTCTAGGTTTTTAAATAACCAGTCACCTGATCTTTTTTGGGCGCGTTGCGGTAAGATAATTAAATATTCTCAAAAAAAAAAAAGACAAACGGCTTGAAAAAATGCAAATCAAAAGACTGGAAGCTTGTATAAACCCGACGGCATAGCCTTTCAGTCGAAAATAAAACGATGAAAAAAACGAATACTTAATAGAAATAATTGAACTGAGCTGCTCTGAGGATGGATTTATACTCGTCATTACTTCTAGTGCCGGTAAAGTAGATCATGAACGAATTGCCCGGCTAAGATGTTTCCTTCACAGTTAAAAAATATCCCACGTTAGGCGAATTGTCTTTATCAGAGCCACAAATCAGGTGTGTGGCTCTTTTCTGTATCGCCTCTTTTGTAGCTTTAACATACTTGATGAGGTATGGGTTCCAAATAAGACAGGTCTACTACTAACTAAATCTAAGTGTTAGTGCGACTTTTTAACCTAAGTTACGTCCCAAGTGTAATCAACATTGATTTTCTCATATCAATCTCAATGCATAATAAAGTAGAAAGGTTACGAGAATTAAGAACATGATCAGAAAAAGAAAAATGGTTTGATATTTCGCATTTCAATTTCAAGGAAATGTATAAGGATCGGCTTGATATTGGGGCCTAAAGCTTTTTAACGGTTGGGCGTAGTATTTTGCATTAGCCGAATATCAAATTTTGTTAAACTTAGTAATTTTGCTTTGTATTTAGTCTTTTAGGAAAGGTAAAGGTAAACATGGACTAAACGACAAAACCTCCAGTTACAACCTCGGAGTTGCAGCTTNTCCTTCACAGTTAAAAAATATCCCACGTTAGGCGAATTGTCTTTATCAGAGCCACAAATCAGGTGTGTGGCTCTTTTCTGTATCGCCTCTTTTGTAGCTTTAACATACTTGATGAGGTATGGGTTCCAAATAAGACAGGTCTACTACTAACTAAATCTAAGTGTTAGTGCGACTTTTTAACCTAAGTTACGTCCCAAGTGTAATCAACATTGATTTTCTCATATCAATCTCAATGCATAATAAAGTAGAAAGGTTACGAGAATTAAGAACATGATCAGAAAAAGAAAAATGGTTTGATATTTCGCATTTCAATTTCAAGGAAATGTATAAGGATCGGCTTGATATTGGGGCCTAAAGCTTTTTAACGGTTGGGCGTAGTATTTTGCATTAGCCGAATATCAAATTTTGTTAAACTTAGTAATTTTGCTTTGTATTTAGTCTTTTAGGAAAGGTAAAGGTAAACATGGACTAAACGACAAAACCTCCAGTTACAACCTCGGAGTTGCAGCTTTAGGACGCTGTGATTTCCCAACTGCCAAAAATTACTTCGAGTTAGAATTGAATGAGGCCAAACAGACAAGGAACAAGTATAGAGAAGCCAAAGCGTATGACAGCCTTGGTTTTGTGCATCACTCTCTCAATGATTATGAAAAAGCAATCGAATTTTATCAGCAGTCTCTAACTATGGTAAAAGAGATTGGAGACAAAGATTCCGAAGGAAAAGCATATACCAGCATTGGCAGTGCGTATGATTGTCTCGGTGATTATAAAAAAGCAATCGAATTTCATCAGCAGTCTCTTAGTATCGCAAAAGAGATTGGAGACAAAGATTCCGAAGGAATAGCATATCTCAGCCTTGGCAATGCGTATCACTCTCTCTGTGATTATAAAAAAGCAATCGAATTTCATCAGCAGTCTCTTAGTATCGCGAAAGAGATTGGATACAAAGGTGCAGAAGGGGGAGTATATGGCAACCTTGGCATTGAGTATGGCTGTCTCGGTGATTATAAAAAAGAAATCGAATTTCATCAGCGATCTCTTAGTATCGCAAAAGACATTGGAAACAAAGGTTCAGAAGGCAAAGCATATGCCAACCTTGGTAGTGCATATAACGGTGTCAGTGATTATAAAAGAGCAATCGAATTTAGTCAGCAGTCTCTTAGTATCGCAAAAGAGATTGGAGACAAAGGTACAGAAGGCAAAGCATACGGCAACCTTGGCATTGCGTGTGGCGGTCTCGCTGATTATAAAAAAGCAACCGAATTTCACCAGCAGTCTCTTAGTATCGCAAAAGAGATTGGAGACAAAGATGCAGAAGAGAAAGCATATACCAACCTTGGCGTTGCGTATTACTATCTCGGTGATTATAAAGGAGCAATCGAATTTCATCAGCAGTCTCTTAGTATCGCAAAAGGGATTGGAAACAAAGGTTCAGAAGCCAAAGCATATACAAACCTTGGCAATGTATATGAATTTCTCGGTGATTATAAAGGAGCAATCGAATTTCATCAGCAGTCTCTTAGTATCGCAAAAGAGATTGGAGACAAAGGTGCAGAAGGGGCAGCATACGGCAACCTTGGCGCTGCGTATACACGTCTCGGTGATTATAAAAAAGTAATCGAATTTCATCAGCAGTCTCTTAGTATCGCAAAAGAGATTGCAAACAAAGGTTCACAAGGTGCAGCATATACCAGCCTTGGCAATGCGTATCACTCTCTCTGTGATTATAAAAAAGCAATCGAATTTCACCAGCAGTCTCTTAGTATCGCAAAAGAGATTGGAGACAAAGGTTCAGAAGGCAAAGCATATACCAAACTTGGCGGTGCGTATTACTATCTCGGTAATTATGAAAAAGCGATGGAATTTCATCAGCAATCTCTTAATATCGCAAAAGAGATTGGAGACAAAGGTTCAGAAGGTAGAGCATATGTTAACCTTGGCGTTGTGTATGACTGTCTCAGTGATTATAAGAAAGCAATCGAATTTCATCAGCGATCTCTTAGTATCGCAAAAGAGATTGGAGACAAAGGTTTAGAAGGTAGAGCATATGTTAACCTTGGCGTTGTGTATAGCTGTCTCAGTGATTATAAAAAAGCAATCGAATTTCATCAGCAGTCTCTTAGTATCACAAAAAAGATTGGAGACAAAGAGTCACAAGGCGGCTCATATTGCAGCCTTGGCAATGTGTATAGATGTCTCGGTAATTACGAAAAAGCGATCGAATTTCATCAGCAGTCTCTTAATATCGCAAAAGAGATTGGAGACAAAGGTTCAGAAGGAAAAGCATATGGCAACCTTGGCATGGTGTATGGCTGTCAATGTGATTATACGAAAGCAATTGAGTTTTATCAGCAGTCTCTTAGTCTCGCAAAAGAGGTTAGAGACAAACATTCAGAAGGGGCATTATATGACAGTCTTGGCATAGCGTATAGATGTCTCGGTGATCATAAAAAAGCTATCGAATTTCATCAGCGATCTCTAGGTATGGCGAAAGAGATTGGAGACAAAAGTTTGGAAGGAACAGCATATTCCAACCTTGGGGCTGCGTATACACGTCTCGGTGATTGTAAAAAACCAATCGAATTTTATGAGCAATCTCTTAGGATCTCAATAGAGATTGGAGCCAAAGATAGAGAAGGCCACGTATATGGCAACCTAGGCGCTGCGTATTACTATCTCAATGATTATGAAAAGGCAATCGAATTTTATCAGCAGTCTCTTAGAATCGCAAAAGAGATTGGAGACAAAGTTTCAGAATGCAAATCGTATAACAGCCTTGGCGTTTCGTATGGCTGTCTCGGTGATTGTAAAAAAGATATCGAATTTCATCAGCAGTCTCTTAGAATCGCAAAAGAGATTGGAAACAAAGAAGAAGAAGGCAGAGTATATAACCACCTTGGCGCTTCTTATGGCCGTCTCGGTGATTATAAAAAAGAAATCGAATTTAATCAGCAGTCTCTTAGTATCGCAAAAGAGATTGGAGACAAAAATTTAGAACAAGACACGTACGCAAGTCTTGGTCATAGTTTTGAAAAACGTCATGATTTCCGTAAGGCTGAAGAGTGTTATGAATCCAGTATAAAAGTGTTTGAGGAGATGAGGTTCCTTCTTCGAGGGAAAGACGAATGGAAAATCACTTTTCGGGATCAATTCAAAATGTACAATTATTTGTGGCGTGTTCAGTTAAAACAAGGCAAGACCAAAGAGGCGTTTTTAACAACTGAGCGGGGACGAGCGCAAGCTCTCACAGATCTCATGGAATCACAGTTTGGCGTAAAATCAACTCCATCTGCATCAAAAGAGCAGATGGAAATAACAACTAACATTTCAAGCTTTATTTCAGCGTCTATGACATTTCTTGTGGAAGTTTTCGAATCAGTGTTCTTCTGGGTACTGCCTAAAGGACAAGAAATGCAGTCGATGCAAAAGAAAATCAATGGTACCTTGAAAGATATGACTGACAAAGCATACGAACAGATTGGTGCCACTGAACGTGCCAGGTGCGAAGATCGCTCCCTTCGTGATCCAGAAGATGAAACAAATGAAGATTTATCCGATAGGTACTGGGGTGCAGGTGAGAAAAAACTTACATCGCTACAAGCTGGGGTTGAAGCTTTAAGAGAATTGTATGATGTTGTGATCGCTCCGATTTCACACTTGATAAAAGATGAGGAACTTATCATTGTTCCTGATGGTTCATTATTCTTGATTCCTTATGCTGCCCTTTTGGATCAAAATTCCAGGCCTAGGTATCTGTCTGAAACACTGAGAATTCGATTGGCTCCGTCACTAACAAGCTTGCGCCTGCTGTCAGAGTGTCCAGAGGAGCGCCATAGTACTTCTGNCAACTCCATCTGCATCAAAAGAGCAGATGGAAATAACAACTAACATTTCAAGCTTTATTTCAGCGTCTATGACATTTCTTGTGGAAGTTTTCGAATCAGTGTTCTTCTGGGTACTGCCTAAAGGACAAGAAATGCAGTCGATGCAAAAGAAAATCAATGGTACCTTGAAAGATATGACTGACAAAGCATACGAACAGATTGGTGCCACTGAACGTGCCAGGTGCGAAGATCGCTCCCTTCGTGATCCAGAAGATGAAACAAATGAAGATTTATCCGATAGGTACTGGGGTGCAGGTGAGAAAAAACTTACATCGCTACAAGCTGGGGTTGAAGCTTTAAGAGAATTGTATGATGTTGTGATCGCTCCGATTTCACACTTGATAAAAGATGAGGAACTTATCATTGTTCCTGATGGTTCATTATTCTTGATTCCTTATGCTGCCCTTTTGGATCAAAATTCCAGGCCTAGGTATCTGTCTGAAACACTGAGAATTCGATTGGCTCCGTCACTAACAAGCTTGCGCCTGCTGTCAGAGTGTCCAGAGGAGCGCCATAGTACTTCTGGTGCCCTCCTGGTTGGTGACCCGTGGATTGAGACTGTGCGCCTTAAAAGCGGAGAACAACTAATAGGATATTTGCAACTCCCTGGCGCCGAAGAGGAGGTAAAAATGATTGGACAGATATTAAACGTTGAGCCTCTCATTGGAAAAAACGCTACAAAAGAACAAGTGCTTAGTAGGCTAAACTCAGTTTCTTTAGTTCACATTGCAGCTCACGGTTCTGCAGAAAGGGGTGAAATTCTGTTGTCACCTAATCTTGGCAGCTCTGAACCTCCCGAAGAGAAAGACTTCCTCTTGACGATGTCAGATGTGTTGAATGCAAAACTGGACGCCAAGCTTGTCGTCTTGAGCTGCTGTCACAGTGGACGAGGGAAGATCAAGGCTGAGGGCGTGGTTGGTATTGCACGTGCCTTTTTAGGAGCCGGTGCGCGTTCTGTTATTGCGTCACTTTGGGCGATTGACGACGAAGCCACTCTAGCGTTTATGGAACACTTTTACAAACATTTGGTCAAGGGGCAGAGTGCAAGTAAATCACTTCATGAGGCCATGAAAATAATGCGGGAGTCAAAAGAATTCAGTGCAGTGAAGCACTGGGCACCATTTATGCTGATTGGCGATGACGTCACTTTAAATTTCGACCAATGAAGGTCGGTTGGGTAAGTTTAGTTGAAAATGTTATTGAGTCAATGAAACGCAAAAAGACAGTGTTAGAAATACCACACATTGATAATACTTATAACATAAAGAATAGTTTCGGATGAAGAAGATTAAAATGGAATTACTACGAAAAAAACTTGACAATTTTTGGGCTAAATTTTTTAATGCGATAAATGTNTTGAGCTGCTGTCACAGTGGACGAGGGAAGATCAAGGCTGAGGGCGTGGTTGGTATTGCACGTGCCTTTTTAGGAGCCGGTGCGCGTTCTGTTATTGCGTCACTTTGGGCGATTGACGACGAAGCCACTCTAGCGTTTATGGAACACTTTTACAAACATTTGGTCAAGGGGCAGAGTGCAAGTAAATCACTTCATGAGGCCATGAAAATAATGCGGGAGTCAAAAGAATTCAGTGCAGTGAAGCACTGGGCACCATTTATGCTGATTGGCGATGACGTCACTTTAAATTTCGACCAATGAAGGTCGGTTGGGTAAGTTTAGTTGAAAATGTTATTGAGTCAATGAAACGCAAAAAGACAGTGTTAGAAATACCACACATTGATAATACTTATAACATAAAGAATAGTTTCGGATGAAGAAGATTAAAATGGAATTACTACGAAAAAAACTTGACAATTTTTGGGCTAAATTTTTTAATGCGATAAATGTACATGAAATAAATCATAAGTGAAAACAGCGGAAAATGAAATCAAGTAAAGAATGATCCTCGCAGTTGTGAACGCAATTTATGCAATTGCGTAAAAGAAACCTGAAAAAACTTCAGAATTTCAACGGGATTTGAACCCGTGACCTCGCGATATCGGTGCAAAGCTTTAACCAACTGAGCTATGAAGCCACTGATGTTGGGAGAAGGTAACAAATGACAACAGCGAGGATCATTCTTTACTTGATCAAAGTTTTTAAGTTGCAAAAAACATTGTTGCAGTTTAGAGAAATACAAGAATTTTGTCTTTGAATGCTGGTCCCAGTTTCTGAAATTAAGCCCTCCGGAGAGTTTAAAACAGAGGCTTCGGAAATATCGGAAATGACCTATCTTGGGGTAATTTAAGAAGATTTACCCTGAAGACCCTTATACGTTTCCTTATAAAAAATAACAATCATGTTTTTTTCAGTTACATTGCAGCACATTATGACGAACTCTAAATGATGAGATACTCACTTGCCGGTACCTTGGTCGCTTGCAGACTGGGATACAAGTAAAAGAATAAAAACGAAAGCAACCATGAACTAATGACATTCACTAATATAATCATCTCTGCATTCAGTAGCGCACGAATTCAGCTTCTAACGTGACATCCTATCTCGAATCAGCCATATACTCGTAACATCCAGTTCTACACGCTCACATCACTGAGGACTCAGCTAAATATTGTTGTCAAAACAGATATTGTTGAATTCTTAGATAACTAAGGAATGCCAGTCTTCGTGGATAACTTTTCTTCACTTTTTTACTTGTGGCTCCCAAACCCCTTCTAAATAGTGAAATGGCGTATTTTGTTCCAGTCAGTCGTTTGTCTTGTCCATTTATATTTGATAGTTAGTCTTTTAAGAAGTGAAATATGACTTTTTTGGTTAATTCCATATATCCTTTTATTTGCAAAGTTTTATCTGCAAAAGCGTGTAAGGCACTATATTTGTTCAATGTAAATATCTGGTCCTTAGCAGATTCCGTTCACACTTATAGTTTAGTATCGCGTCCGCAGCATAAACGCAGTTGAAACACAACTGAAACAGTTTTTATTAAATCATTTTGAATCGTAGTTAGTATTTGTAATGTTGGTTCAATTTTTACATCTTTCTTGTAGTATTAGTTTGTAACCGTATTTTAGTGTATTTTTCATATATTTTTGATCTTTTTTTAGAGGACCCTCCTAAAAACCACCTTAAGGTGACTGGAGGCCTCCTCAAAAAATTATTTATCATAGTATGTACAGGTCGTAATGTTTGGCTCGCCAGCGATATCCGAGCGGTGTTTATTGACACGACTAGGTGAACATTAAGCCACATATAAAGTGATGAAACTTTGCGCCTTTTTAGCTGTTTAAAAGACAAGGTCACACCAGGAAGGACAATGTTTTTCCAGTCCGAAATAAAAAGATGGCAGTGTGTTTGGTTATTAAGCCTTCAAGTCCATCCGATCCAAAAGAAATTTGTTCGACAACAATCGTTTAAAAAATCAACTGTGTCCACAGATCACGCGCAACCAGTTGCGTCCAACATTAAAGCGGCTGGAAACTCTTTGTTTGGTACTGTCACGTGGCCATTTTGTATTTCCTTACGGTCTCCTTTATTTGTGAATTTTCATAAGAAAAAAATGTGGGCTTTGAAGGTTGAAAAAGACGGTCATTATCCGAACACATTTTCATCACTTTAAGAAATATTAAGGCTAGTGATAATCTGTCAAGGAAAATATTCTGTTTACTTTCAGTAGCTAGATCACTTTCACTTTCAGTATATTACTTTTCAATTTATTGTTAAATATGACTAGTTTACTATTTTTATATTAAGAATTTACATTACTCTTTGTAATTTTTCATTGATTTTTTATGACTTATTTTTAATTATGGCCAGTTAGTTTTAATAAATATTGTACATTTCTAAGTCGTTAGTAAAAAATGAAGGTCTTAACCTTTAAGTATTTTTTTACAGTCTTAAGGCCATTTCCGAGTTGCTCCAATATTTTTTTTCTAAGCGAAGCTGAGTGGGAAGTTATTGATGTGAAAATGATTTTCTATTTTCATGCAAATAAAACTTTTTTTCACAAGAAAGGTTTTGCACTTAGCCTCGTTTACACAGTAAGAGTTTTTGTAACTCGGAAGTGGTCTGTTACTGTTTACACCTCCACCAGTCCGTTATTGTCCTAAGTAGGACCCCCGTTTCAAATAATAGAAAAATAACTGCAATGAGAAACTTGAGCTTCCCACCAATTTTACGTTGTACGAAATGACGTCACGCATCAGCCAAAATAGTGATTCAGGATCCTTGCACCCATTTGACTGACGAAAATCCCTCTGGGATCAAGTGAGCTATGAGCGCCCAGGAAACTGTCAATAACCAAACACAATCTGACTGTTTCAAAAATGACCCTTTGGAATGCCAGATACAAAAACTAGTGTATTGCTATATTGAGAAACCAAGAACAAAAATGGTCTGTGTTTTAAATTGTTAGTACAAAACAAATGAAGATTTTAGTGTGACTTTCGTTAGTCCATTAGAAAATGTTCCCAAATCCCCCATCTGAGAACCCCATTCCAAAAAAGAAATATTCCAGCCCCTACGTTCTTGTGCTGGTCGCATTACTTTTCTTATTCAAAGACTTCTTCACCCAACATTGTCTATAAACGTTACATTTAACAGTAACACATATCCATATAGCAAGTATTTGACCTCCCCCTCCCCCAATGGTAGTGATCCTCCAGAGCTGTCATAAGTGATAGGTAGACACTTGCGGAAGTTTGCCGTTCATTTCCGGCAATAAATCATCGTTCATCTTATATAAGACATATAACGCCGACCATAGCACAACATACGAAAGAATTCTTATCTTAAAAGGTCGTTGCAACCATGCATTTTAGTAAACCGTAGGCAAAAAACGAGGTCAAACAGCAAAAATATTGGCGAGCGAAGCGGGCTGAGCGGTGGATTGGGGGGCTCGCTTCGCTCGCCGATATTTTTCGCTATTTGACCCGGATTTTGTCCTCTTCCCTTCACTGCAGATTCTGGTCCCGGGGTAGACGTCGACTTCATTTGCGCTTAAAAGAAAAGCAAATTCTAGCCTAAACTCTCCCTTAAAGTTCTTCCCCAACTGCGGAGCCTTTAATTTCCCCTCGCCAGACTACCTCTGGGCTCGCTCCACGATTTGGTTTTTCGCCCACGCCAATTTTTTTTTCTACTTTCTCCCCTTCGCTTCCCCCCCCC